TTTAATGTTCGGCTTCGCCCGAACTTAGACTTTCTTACTTGTTAATTTTACGTTTCTATTTAATATACACCTGACACCTGAGTGGAAGATCAGAAAACTTTTCAGAGAACGCCCTAACTCAGAATATGGTTCAAATACGACCCATCTCAACTGAAAATATATTGAAAATATGTTGAGATAGAACGGCAGGTAAGACAGGGTGCTTTTCAACCGAATTCTGAAATGATTGTTCTTGAAAAGTTTCTGAGATAGGACGTTTTTCAATCAAATTTGGAAATATAGCGTTTTTGAAAAGTTTTCTGAGATAAGATGTTTTCGAATTGGCTGCCGAGATATGTAAGTCGATCGTCCATTCAGGTGTCGATATGTAGTATTTATGAAATTATGTACATAGTAAAAACAGCTTTACATTGGTCCTAACATAACGTATAAATATGTGTATTCTCTGTGTTTTCAGCATGCGTGGGCCCACTTTCGTTTGGACGTTCAATCTGAAGACCAGAGAGAAGGCTGCCAAATGGACATTGGCTGGAGTTTGCTTGCTATTGCAAATCTAATGTAATGAATCTTCTTACATATATATATATATATATATACAAAAGCAGTACAAAAGAATCTAACAATCTGAATGGCATTAGAGGTGTTAACATTTGGTGGTTACAGCAGCGAATACGTTGCAGCTGAAAAAGTCTTCACAACCAAAATTAAATCTAGAACCTTTATAAATGTACAAGCATAATCGAGAGTTCTCTAAAGCGCCGATATGTACAATTCTGTTATAAATATTTTACAAAAGCATGGCATATCTTTTTGAAGTGAAACTTCTTTAGGGGCGATGGATTAATTGGAAGTAAATTGGAAGTAAAGTGAAAAATAAGATGAGGGTGAGGATGCCGATAAAAGTGAAGATAAAGATAGAAGAAGAAAGATTAAGATACAAGTAATTATAAAAATGGATTATCAAAGAGACTAACCACACCTAAATTCACCACACTTTAACACACAACTGAACTCACCACACCTAAATTCACCACACCCTGGTTCACCACAACTGAACTCATCACACCTTTTCTAAACAGACATCACCTAAACTGATCTCACCTTAATTTGCGAACTATTTCGCAATTTATAGATTCTCGTGACTAAATCAGTATTTTCAAGACTTTCGAAATTTTCGAGACTATTTCGGAATTTTCGTTATATTTATCGATCTTATTATCGATATTATCGATATACGTATTTATCGATATTAATATCACCATAATAATCGATATGTCTACCGATATTTGTATCGATAGAAACAGGGTGGCGACGAATAACTTTTACCCAGGTTTTTTTTTTAATAAAAGGGGCCTTAATAGATTTTGGAAAAAAGTATATATTGTTAATTTTCCACAGCTTTTAGTTTAATTTTATTTATTGGTTTTGAAATTTTTACCTTTATTTGGGTTTCCCAGCAGCAAACACTTTGAGAGAAAAGCGTAAGTGGAACGCAAATGGCTGTCGGTTAATTTGTTCCATATCTTCGGTAACCATAGGCTAATTTCTTCCATTTTGAGTCCTTTATACTCCCCCTTTTGTCGAACGTAAGGCATTATACTCAGAAACCGAATATTTATACTCGGAATTACAGTTTTTCTTTTTTTTTGTCTTTTTTTGTACGAAGTCTAAGAAAAAATACACCTGTAAAAGACTTGTACTTATCTCCCAAAGTTTACACTGCTCGCAAATACAAATAAGGGTTACAATTTTAAAACTAATCAAATAAAATTAAAGTAAAATCTGTAGAAAATCTGTACATATATTAAAATCATAACAGGTCAATGTCTGTACATGATAGAATTAAAGAAAAATTAATAAGGGGTGTTTTTATTTGAGCACAACACTCGAAAACTAATGCACGGAATCGAATGCAGTATTCAGCGGTGCATTGCTAAAGGTCCAACCTAAAATATAGGGAAAAAATAATTAGAGAGTTGCCAGCTGCTTCAAAATTACAGTTTAGGTAATTTTGATGAGATAAAGTAATTATTGCAATATGGCTGTCAGAAGAAAGAAGTTTAAGAAGGCTTACAGATGAAAATACTTTTGTGAAAGGTTGCCACCTGTTTGATTTAGTTGATAAGATAAATTAAACATTGTAATATAGGTATCAAATTAAAGAGGTTTAGGAAAATTTACTGCCAAAAATATTTTAGAGGGTTGCCACCTATTGAAAACTTTTTATCAATTATTAAATTAGCAAAATAAATGCAATTTTACAACACGGTTATCAAACTAAAGCGGTTTAAGCAAGTTTACAGCGGAAAATATTTTTGTAGCGGGTTGCCACCTGTTTGAAGCAAGAGATGTAGACACGAGCTAGGATATAAATTAAATATCCAGTATTAAATACGTTCGAAAATATAATAACTAACACCCTTATTCATAAAAACTAAGGTATGTTTCATATATTGAAAATTTGTTTGAAAATCTCACTACAAAAAGCTCTTCTAATCTATTTTATTTTTTTGAATGAAGCTATGAGAGTTGTGGGAGGGAGTAACAACGCAAAAATACTTTTAAGGCGCAGTGAAGCAGGCCGGGTATTTGTTAGTTAACAATAAAATACACAAAGACAGCGCAGCAGCAGCAGCTTGACTATGACTATGCTGTGAAGCATCAAATTGGCAAAAATAGATGATATTGTATGTATGTGTGGGCAAATGCACTACTCGCTTACTCTGATAAGCTTTGCATTGATGGCGGCGTCAATACATGTTCATTCATATTTATTTATTATATTCACTTATATTTAGATAATACAGCATGGTGCAAAGCTCCATGTGAAGAACACAGCCAAGCAGATGACAGCATAGAAAAAGCACTACCACAGCAAATCGAAAGCATTAAATAAATTTAAAAATAATGCCGATAAAATCGCAAAATACCATTTTCAAAGTCACAGCAAAATCAAAGCGGTTCGAATCAAAATCGAAAATTTCAAAGCGAAGCAAAAGCAAAAATAGTAGTGCTGTTGTTGCTGTGCTTACAGTTTTTCAAATCTTGGTTAGAACTTTTCAGAGGATAATTTGCACAGAAATTGAAACTATGACAGATTATTTGTTTTAAAACCAGAAGTAATTTCGCCCTATGTTGAGATGCTTTGCCGCCGCTTCCATCCCAATTCCTTGAAGATATACAGTGACTAACACTCAAAATGATGCAAGTGATAGTTGCTCTACATACGTAGCGTTTTTGTTATTCTAAAAATTTGTCCGTTAATTTTTTCTAAAAGCATTTAGAAAGTTTATATTTTTTTATTTGATGGTCGCTAGGTCATTGAATTCTCATTTCAAGTTTAACTAGCTTTATCAGTTCTTTAAATTAATTAATTTAAAATCTTATTCATAACCTTACAATTGAATAGAAAAATCCATATTTGCCACCTTTAACCCTCCTCTCTGCAGGCCGGCAACCTGACCAAGTGTTACCGACATATCGCACAAAGTTGATAAGTCTTCCCAACAAACACTGGAACAAAAATGTTGAAACATTTGAGAAAATCATATTTCTCAATTTGGTTTTCAGCATTGTTTATCATTTGAAACTAAACATTTTCTCAAATTTGTCTCAAACATTGTTTAGCAATTTGAAAAACATTTGAGAAAATCATATTTCTCAATTTGGTTTTCAGCATTGTTTATCATTTGAAACTAAACATTTTCTCAAATTTGTCTCAAACATTGTTTAGCAATTTGAAAAACATTTGAGAAAAAAAATTTTAGCATTCCGTTCCGTTCCATCTGTGGCAACATGGCACAGATGTCGTAGTACATACATCGGTAGTCTGCTGCATCAGTCGCAAAATGACTCTTCGACCACGCAGTCGCTGTTATTCGCAATTTGTCTAATTCCAAAACAACCTCTTAAACTAATTTTTTACATCAACCGTATTTTTCTTTGTTAAACTGCATAAACAAAAATTCCTTTCCTATAAAAACTGTGTTTCTCTTACACATGTAACACTATAAAAATATTTCAATGAGAGTAACTGGGTTTCATTTCGTTCCGCTCCACTCACGTTTGAGAAAAAGTTGAGTATTCAACATTTCGCAATTTGAAAACAAAGGAAAACGCAATCAACGGTTATTTGACATGCATTTGAGAATTAACGTTTGAGATTTGAGAAAATGACTGATTCTCAAATGCATCTCAAATTGAGATATAACCAAAAATGTTTATTGGGTCCCCTTCACCTAAATACATATGTACTTATGTATGTAGTCATCACATGTCCCTGCCAGTTGTGACTGACACATACGGAAGCACTCAGCGGTCGACTGACATGGTTACAGTGAGTCCAGTTAACATTGCCAACAGGCAACACATTGCCAACCGCAAATTACAGCCTTTGTGGCTTAACTCAGTGACTCAGTGCCTGCAATGTGTTATAACCAGTTATTGGTTATGTAAAAAAAAAAAAACACTTTAATTAACGAATTAACTAAGGAAAAAAGCAGACACAAACAATCCGTTTTTCAGTAAATTTAAATCTGCACACCAATGCCAACAAAGCAATACTGCGACTCCTGCTACGATTACGAACTACATATTTGCATGCTGTACCACCCCACCACCACTCATTCTCAGNTTAAATCTGCACACCAATGCCAACAAAGCAATACTGCGACTCCTGCTACGATTACGAACTACATATTTGCATGCTGTACCACCCCACCACCACTCATTCTCAGACAGCCAACGACCAACCGTCTCATCGCACACCACGCTGGCATCTGCTCAACTTAATACATAATTTATATGCATACGAGTACAAAACATTTATAGTTGGCGCGGCGCAGCGCAGCGCGTCATTGCATCTGTGCCGGAGCGGCGCGGCGCGGCGCAGCGCTTTGCACGAGCCGAGTTCATTGTGAGTGAGCGCACATAGCTGGCGGTGGCATTTATTGTTGGCATTTGCCGCTGAAGTTTATGAGGCCGTTATACGGACGCACTTGCCTGCCGCTTTGTGCACTCTGAACTTAACTTTAATTTGCGGCCATTTCTCATGATTCGCGATTTAAGAGCCAGCCGCTCGCTCACTTGTGGCACATAAAGGACGAGTGGAATGAGTAAAGTATTGCGCTTTGACGCCACACGCAGTTACTCATTCAGCAAATAGTGCTTTTCGCTCGAGTTCTTGGTATTTTCCATGCCATCAGCCAAACTCCCGTCACTTCCGACTTCCGTTGAGCGATGGCAATAGCCGGAAATTGCTGCAAAACTCTACGTACAGATATGCATACATATATGTAACCTTACTCTTACGTAAACGCATGCATGTGCGTATGTATGTAAATGCATATGTTTAAGGGGGAAGCACATATACATATACATGAGTAAGTTCATTTGCCCCAATTACCTTGCAGGCCTCAATTCGTGGTGCGCAACATTAAAATTCTAAAATTCTAGTTCTTCCCTTGACTCGCTTGAACGCTCGCATCTGATTAGCTGTTGCTCGCTGCAACTTTACCGCATTCGCTGGCAGCTCGTCACTTCTGTTCATGGCATTTCACATAGTTTTCAAATTAAAATTTGAAGTTTGATCGATACCATTGAGCAGCGCCAATAGCCGGCCGCAACACTCCTCTACCATCACTGGCTTACACTAACCCCACAGCCGCAAGTTGCTGCGGTTCCGTCCATTTATGTACTTGCACCTAACACTAAGGGGTGGTCCCTTAACTCGCCCTTGGTCATGTAACCCAACGCTTGGTCTTACTACATACGCTTATGCCCGCCGTTAGGACCCGCAAGAGCGCTACTGCAACGAACCGTTGCTTCTACCACAATTGGCATTAGCGGTCACTTTACATTTAACAGCTCGAATGGCAAGTGTGCCTCTCGAGGCGCGGATAGTTTAGCTTTGCGAAAAAGAACATATACCAATTAAACTTGCGCGCGTGTGTGTGTGTGTGTGTGTGTGTGCGCGCGCGCGCGAGTGTGCGTGCGATTAAAGCGATTCAATGTCCACCGCAGATGAAGTGGAAGCGGAGGCTGAGCAATGCCCAGCAAGAGCGTTGCTGTCGTTAGCGGCCAACGATCCACGCCTAGAATTTATCAGCTCGTTCACATTGAGCTCGTTGCGTCTGAAGCAGGACAAATGGCATAGAATGATGGCCACCGAATCGTATCGGGTAAGTACTTGAGAGTGACAAAGTTATGTACATACATACATATGTAAATTCTCCTTCATCACTCCCCATACAAAAAAAAATTGGTACTATTTTTCCATTGGAATTATAAAGTCTATTATTTTTTAAGACTTGGACTAAAATATTTTTAAAAAATATAAGGATTTACGCGATTTGAAAATACTTAAAAAAATTGTGTTTTTTATGAATAAAAATATAGATTTTTGACGCTGCTTTTGAACTTTTCTCAAAGATGGGTTAAGAGAAAAACTTGAATAACTCTCCCAAACCTTTACCAATTTAGACTTATGAGATATCATTGGAAAGGTATTTTCCTCTTTTTTTCTTAGCAAATAAACTCATGAAGATATACTCAAAAGATAAACGAGCATCATTCCAAATTGAATTAGGATGTGTTGATATTTGAAATTTTGGAATGAATTTCTTTGCAAAGAAGTCAAAAGGTTTGGCCCGGTTATTCAAGTTTTTCTCAAACCAACCTTTGAATCATCAAAAAAAAAATTGTTTAAATATTTTTACGCCGACTTTTTTGAGCTTAAACTATTTTGTCATCTGAGAGAATTGTTTTTTTTTTTCAAAAAAAAATCTATATGAAACTATTTTTATTCATACAAAGCTTCATTTTGGAAGTACATATTTTCAAATCGGCCCAGCTCCCGTAAATCTTAATATTTTTCTGAAATATTTTGCTGAAGGTGTTCAAATATAACCAATTATGTATTTCCGGCATAAAACAGCATCTTTTTTGGTCTAATATACAATGGCGGTCAAGAGTGGATGAATGGTGTTTCGTATATAATATTTGTAATGTTTTTCAAGCTATAATTTTTTTTTATTTTTTTTATAAAAACATGGTTCGTGCTTTAACAAAGACCATATAAGACATATTTTTAAACTTTATTCAGGTTTTAGAAAATTTCCAGAAATTTTTATCTAAATTTCGAGCTTTTTAAATAGAATTTTTTTTTTTTAATTTTTTGGGTATGCAGTTAACAGGATTATAAAAGTATAGTAAAATTATCGCATTGATTTTTAATATATATTTTTTTTTTGTTGAAGGCGTTTTGAACTTTTTTCAATATAAACATTAATGTTTTGTGGAAGAGTATGCGCAAGACCGTTTGCGAAAAAAATAAAATAGTGAAGCCAGTTTTTTATATGAAATAAACCCGAAAAAGCCGTCAGAAATTTATTAAGAATCAATGCTGCTCAAAACTTCCACCAATTCTACTAAAATTTTATAATGCTGTTATCTGCATACCCAAAAAATTAAAAAAATAATAATCTGGTTACAAAGCTCGAAATTTAGATTAAAAATTTACATACGCGTAACACTCACGACTCATCGCAAATGAGTCTTCTCATTCTCTGAGTTAGTAAGGAGAGTTAAACATTGAGTTCAATCATTGACTGAATCTCAACCCAATCGGGACAAGGAAATTTGCCAACACACACCATAATCTTTTAAAAAAAAAAAATATCGAAATTTTATAGCAAAGGTTTTTTTAAAGGTTCTATTTAATGAAAAATTACCTTGACCTCAAAACTGTACGTCAAGGGTAAAATTTTTGATTTTTTTTTCTTTTTTCTGGCGGGAAAAAATCATGCAATGACCTCTAAAAATAAATTAAAAAGCATTTTACGGTTCTTAAGACTATGGAAAAATATATTTTCCCTAAGGCAAAACAGCAAAAAATTATTGAAAACTGGTTTCCACTTCCAAAAAAATTTAAAACATATTTTTGAAGATAATTTTAAAGGTCAATATAATTTTTTTATCCAACGATATAATTTTTCCTGAATCTTCATCTTAAAATCTTTACAAAAGCGTTACATCTATAATGTCCCTATCTCTTCTCGTTCTTGAGATATTCGTCCATTCCTTTCTAGAAAAAGAAAATATTGATTCCGGTACAAAACGGCACTTATATGTATGTAATTCTAATCTAGTCATACATATATTTTAGCTACAACCCCCATGGACGGCGCAATTCGTCATGAGCCAGTAGGTTTTACTAAACCACGACTTGCCGCCATATATTCGCATGGTATTACCATAGTCTTAGAAAGCAAAATTGTTCCTATTGAAGTTTTCAGCTTACCACGGAGCGCTCATATACATACCTTCAATATCTACACCTAATTTATTAAAAACTGTACGCACATTTCCATACACTAGACGGTCATTTATCATAGCCATCTTTAGTGTGCGAAAAAAAAAACTTAATTCACAGAAATTTTCTCATTTGACGCCTCTAAGCCGGATCCTTCACAATTTTCCAGGTCATTATGTTTGATTGGCTATATAGCGCACGGCAGCGCCTCCTGGTTATGACGCTCAATCATAGCGGATATTTAGTACCGAAAATTGCGCTCACTGATTTGCACCACAATTATGCGCTACAGCAAACGTTGAGCTCAACAACAGCTACAACAACAACAATAGCAGTAACAACCGCCACACCACAACCTATAAAAGAAGCACGCACAGCACCAGCCGATCCATTGCAAACGACAACAGCAGCAGCAACAGCAGCAGTTGCAACAGCAGAGCCAGCAGCAAAATCGAATAATGTTGGCCAAACAACAACTACTACAACCAGCAATACAACGGGTTCGACCGCCGTCATGGCATCCGCAGCTGCAATTACAGCTGCTGCAGTGTTGATGCTGCCAATGCCGCCGCCTTCCAGCAGCTTCTCTACGCTCGATGGCGTACCGCGTGGCAAATGCGTTTACTTTGTGCGCCGAAGCGCGAATACAACGCTGACCGCAGCTAATTTTCGTACGCAAATACTTTGCGGCGATTTGCCTGTGCACAGCAAAATAGAAACTTTATCGCTACTTTTCGATGAAGTCTTTCAGCCGCTACTCGAATGTTCACTCAATCGGAACTCATGGCCGAAACCGGTGCAGAAGGATTTGCAGATACGCATTAAGGAGGTGCGCAACACGTTAATTGAGGTGAGTTGAATGCTAACATGCACACACACACACACACACACACACACACACGTCGCAAATTGCACTATATAGATATTTGTCGAAATTGGTAATACGATTATTTTAGAAAATACATTATCTTCCGTTTTGTATAAAAAAGAAGATTCCAATAACCTAATAAAAAAATTTCATTCAAATTATTTTTAAGTTAAATCAATTATTACACTATGAGCATCAATCGAAATGGGTTTGAAAAGGCTTTGCCACCTGTTTCAAAGAGCAAGTTCGGCTTAAATAAAGGCAAAAAATTGAAATGTAAGGATATACATGTGGATATCATAGGAAAGAGGTTATGTTGTGAAAATATTTTGCAGAGGGTTGCCACCTTGTTTCAAAGTTAGATTCAATATAAGCAATAGGTTAAGTAAATTATCTACTTCAATGGGAATATAAACAAAATTGCTTTGAAGAAACTTTATTTTTAAACTGTATGTAGGAGTGTTGCCACCTGATTTTATAATTAAAATCAAATTGAATTAAGAGTAGTCTTCTAAATTGAAATATGTATCACCATACAAGTGTCAGACGAAAAAGGTTTTTGTTTAAAAATAATTTGAACAGGATTACCATTTGTTTGAAAAGTCGAATTAAATAAAATTATATCGAAATATTGGCGTCAAAAAAATATTAAAAAAATTTATTTTCAGCATTTAAGTATAACATAAAAGTCGGTTTCCACCTGTGTAGAAAGTTAAACTCAAATTATTTAATAACTCAAATGAATTATTAAAGTGTGGGTATAAATTGACATTCGTTAAAAAGGTTTTTTTTTTCTTAATTTTATTTAGATATACAATTTAAATATGTATCGCAATATGTGTGTCAATCAAAAGAGGTTTAAAAACGTTTTGGTTTTAAAATATTTTGAATAGAATTTCCATCTGTTTTAAAATTAGAATTCAATTAAATGCAATATGAAAACATGGCGTGAAACGAAGGTTGTAAGATATCCTTAGTTAAAATATTAATAATATTAAAGAGGGTTGCCACCTGTTTAAACAGCTAAACGCAAATTATTTAATAAGTGAAAGCAATTATTAAAAAAATATGTGTATCAAATGAAATGGGTTTAAAAAGGTTTTATTTCTGAACTGTATTTTGGAGCGTTGTCACGTATTTAAAAAATAAAGTTTAACTGAAATATGTAGGTATCACAATATCAGACGCAGGCTGATGGTACATACAATTGAATTGAAGGAAACTGGTTTCTTGTTTTAGAGAAATGCTTTTTCTGAGTATAGGTACGAAATTGCGAATCATTTCTGCAAAGCTTCGAATTTTGGCCGCACTTTTGGATTTCGATCACACTGTGCGGCGAGCGATTTTAGGATTTCATTGCTACTCTGTACTTTCCCTGCAAACCGTTTTTCCAGAGTATCCTGAATTGTAGAGAAATTTTAAAGAATTCGTAAAGATCTCATCCGATTTTTTTGCAGAATTTTCTAAAATACGGAATAGAGGTATAACAATAGTTTTATAGTTAGATAATGTAATCATGAAGAAAAAATTATTTGCAAGAATTAGATATAAATCCTACGAATCGAGCAACATTTTTTTTAGTTGGGGCTCTTTTGAAGACGTTGTGCGAATGTGCACCTTATGGGCTTGATGAACGGATACTTAATTGCAGCAAACCAAACCAAACCAAACCAAACCAACCCAAACACTTGGCCATAGTATTAGAGCCAAACATATATTTGCTTTCAGATCAAATATGATTCCTATACAATTTGTCCATGCAGAAACAACACCTCTTTTAGCTGCGCTTTAGCAAGCGGATAATTATCTTAAAGGTTGCTACTAGAAAGTAAGGCAAACCAAAGCGATAGGAAACCTTAGCAAATATGTAAGTACGAATACAAAAATTTAAGGTACTACTGAAATTTTTCGTCCCAACACTAAATTACAACTTGCTGTATATCTATTTACAGTTATATAATAGTATGTATGTGTATATTCAGGTTAATTGATTTAATTAGAAGCTGAATTGTATGTATTTGGTGTGTATATATTACACTATATACAAATGGGTGCGTACGCATCTGACGTAACTATTATGAAAACAATGGCATGAACAAAAGAATTTTAGTTTGCCGAACAAAGAACTCCTTAATTCATGTGTGTATGTATGTATGTACCTGCTTAGATACGTACAAATACATATGCTTGGGGTTAATAACAGGTAATATCATGCGTATACCTAATCACCTATGTATGTGTGTACATACATTAGTTTGGGTCAGGAGAGAATGTTTGCAATTACACTACTTAGCTTAAAAGCTAGCTTTAAAAGGAGTTTGGGGTGATACAAAATTTTCGCTCTTGGCGAGTGCTTAAAACAGACGCAATCGAAATTTCTGGGTTATTTTTTTATTTTTGTGAATCGACTCAACCGAAAATTCTTGGTTATTTTTTATTTTTGTGAATCGAAAAGTTTGATAAGTCATTGAAAGCATATATTTTTATACTAAACATCCCTCTAAGATCCTATCTATCCAGAAAACCTCCTTAATCTACTAACCCCAAATAACTCTATGTTTACCCTATTTTAATCCGACCCCCCACATCTCGGCTTGTTGTCAGCTATCGCATGCATACCTTCAATTTTTTGGCATGCGGAATAATTGTCAAAGAGAAAATGTTTTTACGTGGGCATTTATTTTATCGCTTAAGATTTCTTTCCAAAAAGCTTGTAGAACAGAGCAAGTGGAATTTCTTTAAAAATTTAATTTTGATGCAAGGTACATTAAAAACAGCTAGAGGCCAATTTGACATCAAACTTACAAACGTCAAAATTTTCAGGAGAGTAAAAATGAGAATGAGAATATGAAATGAAAAATAAAAAAAGTACATTTCCCTGGTTGACCTTTTTAAGTAAATTTGTAGTTTATTTTTATTTATTTATTTGTTTAATGTAAATTGGTTTATCGTTTATTCCGTTCCGCTGTTGTTGGAGGGTCTTTCCGGCAGCTCTACGACGCAGCTGCTCAAGGCCCAACGTCCCTGCTATGAAAGCCATTGAGGAATTAAAAACAAAAAATGTATGGTATGGGCATTATATTTGACATCCCATCGAAACAGCGCTTCAGGTGTTACATTTTTGACGTATGCACATACTACATACAGCTGTCAATAAATCTATCACCATGAGGAGCCGCCGAGCGAACTTCGCATTTCGCTTTAGCTGTGTTCAATCGGGGACCTTTTTTTTGTTTTAAGAGAACCAACCAAGTCTAATGTATGTACACGCATATTTACATGGAATTGCGAATGTTCGCATATTTGCATTTGCATTAATCTAATTGAGAATGTTACAAACATTAGAGCGGCGTTAGGGTTAGAGGAAAATGATGCGGACGTGTGCGTGCCCATTTTTGCTAATTGGCAAAAGTTTTCATGTCTGACTTTTATTCACGGAACTGTGGCTTTATTAGTTCTTTTACAGTTACCGTAAGTTTGTTGCGAGCAACAGGGATATAAAACAATAGGGGTTAAGATACATATGTNAATTGACAATGTTACAAACATTAGAGCGGCGTTAAGGTTAGAGGAAAATGATGCGGACGTGTGCGTGCCCATTTTTGCTAATTGGCAAAAGTTTTCATGTCTGACTTTTATTCACGGAACTGTGGCTTTATTAGTTCTTTTACAGTTACCGTAAGTTTGTTGCGAGCAACAGGGATATAAAACAATAGGGGTTAAGATACATATGTATGTAGTTATACATACATACATACCTACATATTATGAGTCGATGGTTGTGTTGGGTTGCCAATGCAGCGCTATCCACTCTCTTCACTCTCTTTTGTATTGTTCTCCAAACGAACGTGCCTGCGATTATATAAGCACATATGTATGTACATATGCTTTAACGTGTAAAAGCAAAAATAAATTGCGTACCTTATTTTNTGCCAATGCAGCGCTATCCACTCTCTTCACTCTCTTTTGTATTGTTCTCCAAACGAACGTGCCTGCGATTATATAAGCACATATGTATGTACATATGCTTTAACGTGTAAAAGCAAAAATAAATTGCGTACCTTATTTTAATTCTTTTTTTTTTGTTGTTATCTCTTCACAGATTAAGGGAAAAACGAACAATCGCACAATCNTCATACATATGCTTTAACGTGTAAAAGCAAAAATAAATTGCGTACCTTATTTTAATTCTTTTTTTTTTGTTGTTATCTCTTCACAGATTAAGGGAAAAACGAACAATCGCACAATCTTGTCATTATTAGTTGCACCAACTGTCATCGAAGAAGTGGCATCACATGTTAATCAAGGGTAAGTATGTAAAACTGGAAGTGAAAGAACAACTTTAAAAAACTTTGTTTGGAATTTGCACATATTGCAGTGATATTTGTGGTTTGAGCTTAGGTAAATGTACATTTAATTTACTAAACAAAATGTTAATTAGTCTGAGTAATAAGCAAAGCTTTTGCTGGCCGCAATATTTTAAGGAACTTATAATCAGAAACTATTTTCATTATTAACTAATTATTAAGTTTGGAGATACATAATTAGCTACATGGCAACGCTGGCGCGCTTTCTCAGCGGTAGAGGAAGCGGTAGAGGAAGCGAAGNCAGTGATATTTGTGGTTTGAGCTTAGGTAAATGGATGTACGTACGTACGTACATATGTACATTGGCTAATTTACTAAACAAAATGTTAATTAGTCTGAGTAATAAGCAAAGCTTTTGCTGGCCGCAATATTTTAAGGAACTTATAATCAGAAACTATTTTCATTATTAACTAATTATTAAGTTTGGAGATACATAATTAGCTACATGGAAACGCTGGCGCGCTTTCTCAGCGGTAGAGGAAGCGGTAGAGGAAGCGGTAGAGGAAGCGGTAGAGGAAGCGGTAGAGGAAGCGGTAGAGGAAGCGGTAGAGGAAGCGGTAGAGGAAGCGGTAGAGGAAGCGGTAGAGGAAGCGGTAGAGGAAGCGGTAGAGGAAGCGGTAGAGGAAGCGGTAGAGGAAGCGGTAGAGGAAGCGAAGCTCTGGGCTTCTACAAGTTGTGATGACAGCAACCGGTGCTATTTTTCTCAAACTGGTTATTTGGGTACTTATTCTTATAGGGAATTTACACGATTCAACTTTCACAGGCGATTAGTTGAACCAAAAGTTGGACGAAAGTAGGCAGCCGTCCAATTTCATTGAAAGTGATTAGTTGAAAGGCCGTTTACACCAGGCGACTGTAAATTCCCTATTAATCTCGAAAGGAGACGATCATTCTATTCAGGACCATNGCCGTCCAATTTCATTGAAAGTGATTAGTTGAAAAGCCGTTTACACCAGGCGATTGTTGCTTTCAACTAAAAATCGCCTGAAAAATCGCCTCATGTAAATTCCCTATTAATCTCGAAAGGAGACGATCATTCTATTCAGGACCATTCCAGCCTTTGTTAGCCGTGGAAATGTTTCTCCATATAATTTCCATGCTGATCTGGAGCATCGTTCGCACAAATTAATTCAAAATAAAATTTTCATGCAAAAAACATCCCAAACACTGCCGAAAATCGCCAAACATGTTGATTTGTGTATGGAAATAGCCCAAATATTCTAAAAACTTCATCGCAATTAGAGAATAAAAATATATACCAACCATAAAAAAACGTTCGATACTGAGCAAAAACTCCAGAATGTTTTTATAGTAAAATGTGTATGTATGTATTTCAAATTTGAATAACTTCAAACATAGTTTGATTTTATATTTGAATAGAAATAAGCGCTCTAAAACGCTTTATAATCCGGCCAAATAAAAAAATCCCTTTCTTCTATTATTGATTTCTATGTGGCTTGAGATGACTTAAAACAATGTAAAAAATTATCATCATTGAGAAAAATTACAAATCAATTTTCATTTCATATTTTCACCATGAAACGCGTAATACAATTGGATGTCCTATACAAAAATCTATAAAAAATATAGTTTTCCATTAAGAATAATTATAGTAATATTTCGGCGCTTATATTTCACCTACGTGTTTGGTCGCGCTTCTCTTCTTCGTAATAAGAATATCTCTTAAAAACCATAAAGAATACTTACTACTTTATTGCATCGTTCAAAAGGAAGCATTACTTAATTTAATGCAATATCTTCATGAACTCATTTTAAATTCATGATTTTCAAGGCATAATTAAGTCGGTAGAGCCGCCATTCAATAGGTCTCGGATTCAACGACAGGTTAACGCAAACTTTTGTTTTATGTTCCATTTATAGCTATTTAAGGTAATTTATAGATGGTTTTTAATAATTACTAGTTCCAGTTACCAATTTAGACTTATGAGGTATCATTAGAAATGTATTTGCTCACCCTTTTTATCTCTTCGCAAATAAACTCACACAAAATATGAAAGAGAAAAAGTAAGATGAACGAGCGTCATTCCAAGTTGAGTTATGATGTGTTGATATTTGAACAAAAAATTGGGACGTATTTTAGGTTTTTTGCAATGAAGTAAAAGGACTGAAAAAATACCTTTCCAGCGGTACCTTACAAGTCAGAAACGCTATAGGGTTGCCCCACTTATTAAAGTTTTTCTTAAAGCAATCTTAGAAAAGGTTAAAAAAGCAACATCAAGAATCTCAAGATCATGATTCCGTTCAAAAATTTATTTAATATTTATATGCAGATTTTTTGAGCTTAAACTATTTTATCATCTGAGGGGAGTTTTTTCAAAAAACTACTAAATTAACTACTTTCATTCAAAAAAAAAACTCGATTTTTTGAGGTTTTTTTCAAATCGGTCGAACTCACATAAATATTTAAAATTTTCCAAAATATTTTGGTCGAAGTCTTCAAATATAATAAATTTTATAATTACGGCTCCATGATAAAATAAGTTGGCTAATTAAAAACATCTCAAAACATTCATTATGAATTAATTTTTTAAATTTTTCACTTTAATATGAAACTAACTACTTATCATTCTCCCACACTAAAGTCAAGCTAAACTCAACTATGTACCTATATACCTACTAGCTGTAAAGTTTAAGCAAATACTTTATTATGTCTATAATAGTCTACTCGGAGACATGTAATTACATTTTAAAAAAATAACCATTTTCGGTGAAAATTAAGAAATTCAATTTACATTAGCTTTTCCTTTCTATCGATAATATTTACCGGGCTATGTTGTTGCAATGCCTCGCCTGAAGGGATTCATTTTAAGATGAAGTACATGCATATGTACATACGTACAAGCGCCGCAATTTGGACGCTCGAAATGTACATACATAATTTAATTGTAAAGGGATTACTTAAGCAGACAGGCTAAGCGAAACTGAAAACTGAAAGAACAACAAACTTTGTTGCAAAATTTAAATACAATGCAAACATGCACAGTGAGACATTTTCAAGCGAACTTCATGGAAAATTTACTTGCCTTAGACTTGGATTATATCCATTTTAGTTAAATAACGTTAATATATGTATGTATTTATGTACATAAATGCTACTTAAGCGGGATGATAAAAAATTACACATAAGCTTTAAATATACATACATACATACTATTTTACCTGACTGCAAATATAGATCATTTTGGACCGGAAGAAGTTTTTAAGCAACACACATATCTTTCTTCCGTTTAGTCCGGAAAATCCATCCGATTTTTTTTTTTTTTTTTTTTTTTGAAGTCCTAGAACTATATGTACATATTTTCGAATTGCTCATCCGTCAGGCGCTCTGTCCAAAGTGCGAACTTTACTATTCACAACAACGCTTGAACTACACTGCCGAGAACGAAGGAGCACAATCAATTTCGCCTCTGACCAACTTTTAACATCAACATAAAAGCACTCAACTGCTGCTTTTCACTACTCCATCATAATCCCTGTCCAAATATTTCCTTTTGTATGTATGTATGTATGTATGTATGTGCTTTATTTATTTGCCTGAAATTTAAATTTTAACAGCTGCTGAGGCAAAAAAAAAACACCCAAAACTGTAGAGTATGATGACAGTCGTCTAACCATTTTGGCGATTAGTTGAATTCTCGATTGACAACAACGAATCGATGACGCGACCGAATAGTACATACCCCAAGGGTATTGGGCAAAATGCAAATCAATCAAATGATATACATACATACTAGTCACTAAACCGGCATCCGTCCATTGGATGTTGTCCCCTCGCAATACAGACACACTTGCTCCGGCCTTGTCGCTGTGAATGTATAATAAACAGCGTANTGATGTTGTCCCTCGCAATACAGAGACACACTTGCTCCGGCCTTGTCGCTGTGAATGTATAATAAACAGCGTACTAAATACGGGTATGTAGGTCAATGAACAATTTAATTGTGTTGAAGTAAGCAGCTTTATGCAAAATCAAAATGTTTAAGGGTTTCCAGGAGCGAAATGACTGAACAAAGTGAAAGCTCGTGACACAACATTTCCTGGATTAAATGCAAAAATTTACACTAAAGAAATTGTGTATAGATAGGGTGGAGCAAAATCCACTTTGAATTTGATTATCAAGCGCTTGGATACTATGAAATTGGTGTTAGGACTGATTGCATTTTCTTATACGGAATTTCTTTGACTATACCAGCAAAAGCACTAGGGTTGAATAGTGGCAAAATTTAAAGCCAATTTGAGGGTGTTAAAGTGTCCAAAGAAGTGTACCACAATACGGGAGTTAAACTTATTTCGTATACTGCAGAACTTTGTATTAATAAAAAGTATTTGTTTTTAAATGGAAATTGTCGATGGCTTTTTGTTTTTTACACGTTAAGCGTAGATTTATACATTCTCGTAAAAAAACACGGCTAATCTTAGTATTAGGCTTGGCTTAAAGCGCGTCTGAACGTGGTGATGCAAGCGCTTTTCCACTCATTTTATTGTTGCGAATGTCCACTTTCCCATGTAAATACCCAGAAAATCCTTTTTGCAGAAATAAAAACTTCAAGGTATAACTGCTACTGGAAGAAGGCAAATTGCTTCTGAACAGGAGCGGTAACAGTTACGACTTTTATTAAAAAATCACTCTTTAACAGTTATTTTTATACTTTTATTTAATTACTCCTTAAATAAAATTTATTGCTGCTTTTTGTTTTATACATCCAAAATAACAACTATTCCTGATTTTTATTTAAATAATCTGGAAGTAACAGTTATTTTTGATTTTTAAATTAAATGTCTTAGATAACAGTTATTGAAGACTTTTATTAAAAAAGTCATAAATAAAAATCAGTCACTGACTTTTATTTTTCAAATCGTACTTATAAAAAACATCTGTATACGTCGTGGTAAACCGTTCTTCTCCAACACCTTCTTAACTGCGAAAAATTGCAGTGTCTTTTATACGTATGACTTAAAAAATAAAAGTCGGTGACTGATTTATATTGATCAATTTTAAAAGTAAATGCCACTGAATGATTTTTATTGATAATAAATTAAAGTCTTCGATAACTGTTATCTAAGACATATAATAAAAAAAAATTAAAAATAACTATTATTTGCAGATTATTTAAATAAAAATCAAAAATAATTGTTACTTTTCCATAAGAAAAAATAAATTGATTGGTATGTATCACTTAGTTTTAGAACATATCCTCCATAGTGAATTTTTCAGCGACAGTTTTCATCAATAACTGTTATGTTCGGTTCCTGCTTTTGAGAAATAATTTCCACATGCTCATGCTTCACAAGCAGTTTACGTTTTTGTTGAAAGTTCTGCGAAACCAATCGAGTGTTGCCGTGTGTCACAGTTTTTGGCCAATTTGTATCAATTTATCTGGTAAACATAAGTGCAGCGGAGAGCGGGTAACGAATGGCTAATCCATTGCAGTCGGAAAATTCGGTCGCGTAAACACTATTGCTTTTTAAATTAGTTGTATTTACATTTAAATTAATTATATTTTTAAATTCATTTATAAATATTTGCCTGCTTGTTGTTTGCCTGCTTTTGTTTGTAAACATGGAAATTGACGTAAAATAGTCAGTAAAGCAACCCAGAATTTTTACCATAGATTACAAATTACAGTAAAATCGCAGCACAATATTTACTTTCTGCCAATTTTCGAAAGAGCCTCTTCCACTGTGCGGCGTCACCATCCATCGCTTATCTTCTGATAAAATATTCTCTTTCGGATAGAATTTCTCTTTTATTTTTCTTACATCGTTTTTCCTAACTTTATATTTTGCACCGGTAGCATATTTTGGTCTGATCCTCTGGTTTAAGGGGGTGTAATATTTATATACCTCACTCGCATCTTCTAGAATCGTTTGAGGGAGTACATTTCTCTCTTGTATGAATCGACAAAAAGGACATATATTCAGTTGTTTTTTTAATTAACGTAAAACAGATTTAAAAAAAATCTCTATTTCCCTTTCTCCACCTTTTGCAGTAACTTGGCTCCGGCCATTGAACCAAAATTCCTTGCGGCGCTCGAAGAAATGTACATCAATTGGACAACGCAGATACATGAAATTCTCAGCGAGCGCTCGGAGTTCAGCACCGGCTATCAATCAAGAAATACCAGCCAGCAAACCAAAAGTGTAGTGACGGTAACACTGCCGGCCCATGAGATCGCCTACTGGTCCAACCGCAAACAAAATTTGCAAAATATTTACGAACAATTGCGCACAACAACGCACAAGTCACTCACACACATTCTCAAGAGTATCGACTCAGCCTACTATGAGCCATTTGTGAAGGTCTTCAAGCGTTTGGTATGCGCCTGGCACGAGGCCGAGGACAATACGCTCTGGCTGCAGCCACTATTGCGGCAAACGGCCGCCTTTAACGCTGTCAACTTCCATGCAGCCGCTGAGCTGGTGAGTCCACTAGTACATGTGCTACATCTCATTTGGACGCATGCGCGCTATTATCGTAGCACACAACGCATGACGGTACTGTTGCGTTGCGTTTGTCAGCTGCTGGTGCGGCGCGCAAGTGAAGATTTGGAATTTCCATTGCTATTTCAGGGTGACGCCGATGAGGGTCTGAGCAAAATAACTAAATCTGTTGAGGTTTTGGAGCTGTTCAAGTAAGATACACGCACCGGTAACGCGTAAGGCCGTTGAATTGAAAAGTCTGTTTGTATTTCAGATACAAACTATTGGAATATAAGGAAAAGTATACCAGCGCTCATCAATTGCTACCTGCTTTGCCGAGCACTTCTCGTGCTGCGATTGAGGTTGCAGCGTCTTCTGAGTCGGTCGATAATGGTAGTGTAGCACACGAGCTGTGGCGCTTTTCACCTGAAGATGTCTTTGAATGTACAGTTAATGGATTTGTGACGCAACTTGGCGATATGCGTAAACTTTTTGACGCAGCGGTCTCATTTCAGAATCTTGAAAAAATTGAATTTGGCGGCTTGCGCGGCAAACAGCTAAATGAGCGCGTTCGGCAGGTAAGTTTTTAGGTTATCGTTTACATATCTCGCAGCAAATGAAAATATCTACGAGATACTTCGATAAGCTTTAATAAAAAATGTGTGTTTAAGTTAAGATTATCCATTTTATAGACTTTAGAATATTATTCCGAGCAATCAAAATCGATAATTTTTNCCCATCTATCCAGGAACAGTCCGCAAGTTGCCTTCCCTGCCCGCGGATATGTCTTCAAGGGGGTCCCAATTCACTTTGATTTTGGAGTACTCCGAACTGATTGAATATTCGCCAACAAGCCTCGATCCTATCATTGGCAACCCTAGAGCCCTGACGGCCGCTGGGCTGTCATAGCAGATATTTACTTCCCTATTCCGTAATAAAGTGATGAGCTGCAAGTCGACTGCCTCCCTAATAGCTGCCACCTCTGACTGAAAAATGCAGCAAAATCCGGCAGCCTGAATATAAGATTGTCCTTGAGTTTGCTGCAGAATAGAGCTTCACCAATGGACCTCCATTCTACAGGCTGTCATTATCCTACTCACCACTTGGAGGGATGTATGTAGAGAAGGAACCGGCCATTCTCGGACCGTTCCGATCAATCTCCTCCGACAAGAAGTCGAAGTTTTTAGGAATTTCCGAGTGCTCGTACTCCGGGTAAAAGAAGAAACCAGAGCTTCTTAGCCAATTGGCGTAGCGAATTGCGGCAACTTTTTCCACAATATCAATGAGGGGTACGGAGCGTACTTGACCCTGCCAGAGAACATGAATGAAACGCCAGCTATCGAAGGAAGCTGTGTATTAGGTACTTTATATCTCCTAGTAAATTAGTACGAGCTCCGTCTCTCCAAGAATAAAAGCACAATCTTCCTTTATTAACAATTTCCGTATCCAAAATAACCAATCATTTTTCACTGGACTGTGCTAAAAGTTCTTTCTTTAACATTTCATCTCACTCAATTTATGAAAACTATACTTTTCATTTTCAAGTATGTATAGCACACCATCAGATTTCCAAATTAAATCTGACTTGTTTCCTTTGTCTACTCATTTAAACATTAAATACATTCTCTACAGGTGTACACACAATTCAAGGAGCTCTTTGAACAATGGACTTTAACCGAATTTGAGGCACCCCAGTTGGATGCCCAGCAGCCAAACAACAGCAACAGCAAATGGTCGCACTTCAAACGACAGTTACGTAACTTTTTCGAGCAAATACATGCTTTGGAGCAGAAATTGGCAACGATATTCGTGCAGGCGTACAAAGACTGCCAAAACTGGGAGCAATTAACAAAGGTGTGCCTGGCTTTAATATTCGTAACCTTTCTCTTATCTACCAATTTCCTCCAATGTACTTACATATGTATGTATGTATGTATGTATGTATGTATATATGTTTATTTAAACTACAGCTAACTGTAATGCTTGGCAGTGGCATACTCGAACGTCGCACTATTCCACCGGAGCTACGTGTCATTGATTCGCATCTACTTCATATCTATAGCGAGGAGCTACACCAGTTGGAAAGTTCGGTACTTGAAACGCTGCTGGAATTCGAATATCGCGGTGTATCTGCAGTACCTATACAACAGGGATTCCCGCCCACTGCCGGTGCTCTAATGTGGCTGGAACAGCATATGCAACGCATAGACACGTTGGCATCTCGTGAAGTGCATCAGTTCATGAAGAAAATGTAAGTTAGCGCCATTGAGGAGAGAGTGTATCTATACGCACCACGTATGTATGTATGTATTTATGCTCAATGAGTAGTCATCATGAAACCGATGCAATCGATTGGAATTTGCACTTATTCGCACCAACTGAGTTGGCAAGTAGTACTTGCTTGGCAGTGTGAATTTCCTTTAGAATTTGCAGCAATACGCTTAAATAGAATTCACTATCTGCATTCGAAAGGTTATAAAGGTAAATTGCGTAGACTTTAACAATGAGCGGCAGTTAGCACAGACAATTTTTTATGATTATGTAGGTACATGTGTACCCAGCTAGCACATTTGCCAGATAATTTCTGATATCAGACAAGTCGGAATAAAATGTGGACTATCTAGACAAGTCTTACAGTACTTTGTAAGTTATTTGGTACGTTGGTACGTTGATTTTCGGTCCTTTTGATTTCGTTAAAAGCGACAGTTCGGAAAAGCAATATTAATTATTTCCATATATCTTTTTGATTTTCTATATTCTGTCGTTATGTATCAACTGAAAATGCAGTAATTTAAACGAGAGTATCATTACAGTTATAGCGTCAACACGCAAAAGTAGCCGCAAAGCCAGATACTTACAAAATTCTCTGAATTTGAAGATTACTTTTCTAACAATTTCCTTCTTCTGGAGTTTCTCCTTCAGATTTATAATATTTAAAAGGCGATTGTATTCTTATGACAAGCTGTTTTTCTTGGCAGAAATACAGTCGGAGGTTTTTTGATGTTGCTCTGGAACGCAGGCTCTACGGCGTTTTTACGAAAGCTTGTTGAATTTTTTTAACCGACTTCCAAAAAAGGAGGAGGTTATCAGTTCGTCGGAGTATTTTTTTTTATGTATGTTTAGATCCGAGCATTGGATCATGAAATATATATGTGTATATATATATTTTTATATTAGAATTCATATACATATGTATGTGCCACAAACTTAGTTTGACAGGAGAGGTTTTTTTCTACTTTTCAAAATTTTTAGAATTTTTTTATACTACATGCAAAATTCTTTTGCATGGCACATACGATAACTTCGCCAACAAGAAAAAAAATGCATTGTTACATACGACAAAATATTCAGTAAATCATAGAGACTTCAGCTAAAATATTTTACCAGGTGATGCGTTCCGGGGTGCAAAACAAACTTGCATCAAAAACCAATTTCGAAAAAGTGGCACATACATTAAGCGCAAAGGGGTCGATATAATTAGAAAGTGTAGTACATTAAATCAATTTCAGCACTTTATTTCGGATTATTTGCGCAATACCCATTTTAGTCGGCCATTTGGAGAATTTTTCAAATTAGGTTTAAACGTCTTTCACATTAAGCTTTTTAGTACACACTTTGCAGCATTCTACATGCCCACATAAAAAGAGAAAATCAATTACAGCTTTTAAATGGATTTCATACCAATTCCTCTTTTGATTGCTCTTGTGCCGCCTAAATGATCATTGCTGCTGCTGCCCGCACCGCCGCCGTTGCCGTTGCCGTTGCCATTGCCATTGCCATTGCCATCGCCATTGCTGTCGAGGGACATCACACGTGCGTCAAGTCCTTTGGCAATCCTTTTGCCTATTGTCTGCTGCCAATTGTGCCAGATTTTCAACTGCAAATTGCTCAGCTTTGTTGTTAAAATATCGCGTCGTGTGTTTAGTCGTCTGTAGGCGTCCACTATGTTAGCGGTCTCCTCTGCGGCCACACCTCGACTCCAATAACCTGCGTTGTATTCTGTGTTAATGGGGATGTTGTTGCTGTTAGTGTTGTTACTAATTGCTTCGCTGCCCTCGGTATCGCTGTCAGCAGAGTGAAGCCTAAGAAAAATAATTGATTAATTGATTGCGGATAAA